GCTGACCTATGGCCTTATGCAGAAGGTTACAGGTCAGGTAATCCACATAAAACTACCTGAGAAACAGGTAGATATCCGTACGCGAAATTCCGATCAGACTTTAAATATGTATTTGCAGGCGAGCATAAGGCCCACCTGATGGTGAGTGTTTACCGTCGCCCATGGACTTCAGCAATGCCAGGAGCAGAGCTAAGCCACTGCCTACCATTAAGTACTCTCCACAAGCTTCGTTTGTAGAAAGATATGTCATAGCGCTCGGGAAGCACCGTGGATGGGAGCTCATTCCAAAGCCGGATGGTACGTGGCAAAAAAGATCTTTGAAAGCGCACTGTGGATGACCGCAGTGGCTCCAGGTAGTATGGATGAACTCTACTCCTGTGGCGGGCGGTGCGATGGTAAAAACGAGATGGTGGTATCATTTCAAACAATTCCTCAGAGCACTCCCTATTAATTTAGATTACATTGTTTTGACAACGATACAATCTTGGAATGCGACTGTCTCCTGAGTACAAAGTTATTCACTACAGAGTGTTAAAGAAACACATTAGTTTACATAATGGTTGAAGACCTTAGCTATTCTAATAACTTCTCCTTTTTTTTTTTCTGTGCTGCTCACCGTACTTAATTTCTCTCTAATTCTGTTGGTAAATGTTGTATACTCCCACACGGGTGATTGCCGACAACCGATCTACAGATGTGTGTTTATTTGTGCTTAATTCACCTACGATCGATGCTACACATTTATTAGCAAGCCACGGAAAAATATACACGAGTTTTGTGGCTGTTTTTTTATATATTTACATATTTAGTTCTTGTTCGATCGTTAGACATTTTATATGTGTATCAATCAATTATTGACATTTAGCATTCATTTAACTGTAAATTCGAGTTAAATGCTGATGTTTGCATTTCAATAGTTTGCTTATGCATATAGTTGATTTTAAGATTATAATATTCAGGATACAATTATAATCATTTGTAATAGGCTTAGCACTGTAATTGTGTCGTAAATCCATAATTTTACAATTGTTTTTATGAATAAAGAAAGTCAAGTTTTAGTACACTAATTTCCCCTTCGTAAGCTGATTTAATTTTATACCAATTTGATTTGTATGGGAGAACTTTTTAACTGTACTTAGTTTTACTAACTACTTAACTAAACGGAAAACAATATTCATTTTCCAAAACAAACTTATGAAATTAAGCATTTTAACTACATATTTTATGTTTTGTAAATTCGCAGTTAAGGGAAGGTAGTAAGCGGACGCCCCGTGTCGCCAGAGGTCGTAGACCTAAGACGTTGGCTGATTTCATATTGATTTCCCATGTAGGTAAATTGTTTTTTTCGTCACTCTCTGTTCTTTAAACTACAAATTTGGCAGCAACGGTTACCATGGCAACCATTGTTTTGTATGCAAATGGACTTGAGAGTGTAGATTAAAAAAAAATAAGAATTGGTTGTTTTCGTCACTCTCTGTTCTATAAACTACAATCCGGTAGCTACAGTTACTATGGCAACCATTATTGTGTATGGCAATGGGTTTGAGAAGGTAGATTAAAAAAAAACATTTAATATAGGATTTACGTAAAATTCGTCCTTAGTGAGCGTCTAAATCAAATTTGAAGTCTACCGGATTGACAACGTTGGAGGAGTTGAGTTAGCGGCATCACTCTTTTACGTGTAGATTATATTTACAAACCCTTTTTATTGTTATCGTGGTTAATCGTTAATCGAACAATTTTTGCGATTTGTCTTATCACAAAAATTAGCAAAAGGCAAGCAGCTTGGTTGTGTCTCTACAAATGCTGAGATATCTTTCAATTTTGGTTTTTTTATTGTCGCTGTAGGCAGACGATGACAGAGCTTGCCTGATATTAAATGGTTAGAGTCGTTGGTGGACATCATCAATATTACGGGAACAACCAAGCCACTGCCTAAATTTTCATTATTAAAATCAAATTAAAAACGAGTAAAAGATTTTTTAAATAACCTTTGAAATGCTTTACCCAGCGTGTCTCTTGCATGAAAAACTAGTAATGTGTGTTTCATCTTGGGAGTAGACAAATATGTGCTTAGTAAAAAGGCTACAGAGCCAACGTGGTGTTGATATTGAACAAACAAAAGGTCGAAATATTTTCGTCTTTTAGAAATGTTTAAATGAGTATGTTTAATGTTGGCATCTCGTTTGAATAATTTTTGATTAAGTCGGTTTTCAGTAAAGACAAGTTTAAACTAATAAAGGAATTATGATAATTAATTTACGATGAATAAAATTCTCAGACTTTAATTTCACAGTAGACATTGGTTTGGCCGTGACAATGGCATTGCTGACGTCCATGACGTCCATGACGATGGTGACTACTTACGATCAGGTGAGTCTTATGCTCGACCGCCAAGGTAATAAAACATTTAATTAAGGATAATCGTTATAAAAATATATATTTTAAATTAGTTTAAAAATTATAATTTACTAATGCATATTATTACATTGCAATATACTTGCATGCCGTATCTTTTTCAAAATTTCATTTTTCAGTTATGTTTTGTATGCAATAAAGCATACTTTCTCTGTTTTCCCCTCTCTCCCTCTCTACTTCTCGCTCAGTATTATTTTTTATTAAATTCCTCTCTTTTTATCTCCTTCCTCTCTCCTTTATTAAATTTATTCATTTTTCCAGATGCATATTTTCAATTTAGTCTTTTTTTTGGTTAACGCGATTCGTACTACTTACCTTTAAAAAAATATTCTTATAAGGAATCAGACAGAGAGACTCTCTCTTGTTAAAACTCAAGTTATAATTTTAAGATAAAAGTATACGGGAGCTAGTTAACTCAATATTCGAATGTCAATTAATAACAAGCCAGTCGCTCGTGACCATTTAAATATTTGAAACGTCAAAAATAATAAAACAAAAATAATAAAGGAGAGATTACGCTGTCAACGTAGTATGTACTAATAAAATTTTCATTATATTGACATTCTGATATAAATATAACAAGAGGTTCCGCAGTAGTCGAAATTCGACTATAATTAATTGGAATTGTAAGTTTGTACACTATTATGATTGTATTTTATACTTCTATAATCACAATTTTCGCCAAGGCTACACACTATAAAAAAATATTAATAAAGACAAACAATATTTAATCTATTCTCAATTTGACAGCAGACGTCAAGAACAAAAGTTTGACAATAAATAGTATGCATGCGTGTGTGCGTCAAATACATGGTATGTAGTGTGTGTAATGTTTTCTTTATTGATTTAAAATATCTTTTATGCATTATTTAAAAAAAATATTAGCATTGTGCACTTCTTCTCTATATTCTCTATAAGTGTGGAAAATTTCATAGTCCTCCGTCCGCGCAATTTTCGTAAAAATGGATACAAAGTTTTTGCTTCACGTATTAATATATAGATATCAATAATATATATTCTTAATTCAATTAAACATATTATTATTCAGACACGAACATAATATATTAAATATAATATATTATTATGTATGTATATTACGTAGTGCTTAGTCATACGGTAAAGCGTTATTGTACGACACAATACACAAAATTAGAGGCTTCGTTTGTCTAAAGTCGCGTGTATATTGGTTACAGATATTATGCGTTTTATTAAGTTTGTTAAATTGTAATCTTATCTTATCTTATCTTATACCTTTAAACGAGCAATTCTTGTATATAATAATATATAATCTGAATCTCGGAAACGGCTCCAACGATTTTCATAAAATTTAGTATACAGGAGATTTCGGGGGCGATAAATCGATCTAGCTACGATTTATTTTCAGAAAATGTTGTTTTATTCGTGTTTTCAATAATCAACTCTTCCCGACATCTATTGGCAAATAATAATACTATTTTTATTAATTGAGGGCAACTAACCGCTTTAAAGACACAACAAGTTGGCGTTATCAAAAAAAAAAAAAACCGAGGATCGTTCGGTCATCATCTAGTCTTTACTGATTTAAGAAAGTTAAGATTCGAGTTAAGAAAAAACGTTTACTTCTATTGTATGATAAATTCGATTGATTACACTAATGTAAATATAGTATAGTGATGGTTTGGTCTTGGTCTTGCGATAATAAATAATTAAGTAATTCGATACTTCAATGAAGTTTACCCTATTAAAATAGCTGAAGAAGTTTTTTTGTTACGGTATTTTTTCCAAATTTCAATCTAAAAATGGCTCTCCCGTGTGCTTAGTGCGAATTTTTTAACGTGCTCGATATCGTAAAAGTTAACTCATATTTGTATGAAGTTGGAACAGCGCCCCTAGCGGCAAACGTAGGCAAACGTTCTAACTCCATACAAATTTGAGTTAACTTTTACGCTATCGAGAACGTTAAAAACTCGCACTAAGCACACGGTAAAGTTGCGAAAATATCGGTTAATCCATCCTTTTATCCCTCGATATTAACTATATATTAATACGTGAAGCAAAAACTTTGTACCCCTTTTTACGAAAATTGCGTGGAGTATGAAATGTCCCACACTTATAGAGAATATGTTCCTACATATCCTGCACTCCTGTGCAGAATCTTATTTTTTTTTAATTATGCGCAAAAATACAATAAATCAATAAAACAAACATTACACACACTACCTTTTTTAACACACACACGCATGCATACTATTTGTTTACTGTCAAGCTTTTCTTATTGTTGTGGTCAAATTGAGAATAGATTCAATATTGTTTATCTTTATTAATATTTATTTAAAGTGTACTCTTGGCGAAATCTGTGAATAAAGAAGTATAATAATAGTTTTTGACTATAGAATCATATTAGTGTACAAACTTATAATTTAAATTAATTATAGTCGAATTTCGACTACCGGGGGACCACTAGTTATCATTATTATTCATTATTATAACAGAGTACCGTTTTGAATAGCTTGTGAATACTCCTTTACGTTGCACCGTCGTGTGGTGTGGGAGGCTTTCGTCTCGTCGTTGTCTCGGGCGGCAGTAGCGCTCTGATCGGTCGCGGCGCGCTGTGTCTGCCGTCCGGATAACGCGGCGCGATGTTTACCGCCTTTTAAAATCCTCGATCATAAATGATTTCGGTTCCGTATTTATCGGTACAGTGATAATACTTAATATTATAAAGAGGAAAGATTTGTTTGTTTGTATTGAATAGGCTCCGAAACTACTGAACCGATTTGAAAAATTATTTCACTGTTTGGAAGCTACACTATTCCCAAGTGACACAGCTTATAATCTTTTTTGAAAAAAATTAGGATAAAAAGATTTATATATAGGCATAATATCGTAAGAAAAAAAATACTTAGGTGTATTTAGTGCATATTAGATTTTGATAGATATAATCCTCCATTTCAGAGTATTAGATAGATAGAGTCACTGGTGGTAGGGCCTCTTGTGAGTCCGCACGGGTAGGTACCACCACCCCGCTTATTTCTGCCGTGAAGCAGTAATGTGTTTCGGTTTGAAGGGTGGGGCAGCCGTTGTAACTATACTGAGACCTTAGAACTTATATCTCAAGGTATGTGGCGCATTTACGTTGTAGATGTCTATGGGCTCCAGTAACCACTTAACACAAGGTGGGCTGTGAGCTCGTCCACACATCTAAGTAATAAAAAAAAAACAACTAAAGTTTCCGGTGGTAGGTTCAGCGAAGCACTGCTCTTGCTGGGATGGATGGTAGCAGAGTCTCTCAGGTTGAGCCCCGTGAGTTCGCTTATCTATCCGGTAAAACCAAAATAGCTGCACGAGGATATTGGTCATTAGATAGAAATAAAAACTAAAAGGTTTTTGTTTTTAAATTTATTTATGAACGACATTTTATTATGACAGAAAGACTTTTTGACTAAAATTGATTTAAGCGTTGTTACCCCGTTTTAAATGTTCCTAAATATAAACAATTATATGTAAAATAATTCGAGTATTATTCAGAGAGTCCCGAGAGTTTATCTTTTGGTAATTTACGGGTGTTTTCGTGGTGTAATAAGGAGTCGTCTGCTTGAGATACAAATGTTCTGATTTAGTTACACTCGTGTTACACAAAATCGAGGTTCAGCAGTTATCGGAGCCCATAGACTGCACGATTTGATAGTCGTGGCTCACCTTGAGACGTATTAAGTTGAATGCCAATTGTATTATACAACGGTTTTCCAAACTGGAACGCGCGATTCTTCGCGATCGGAATAGGCAAGACGTGGGTACCAGTGGAGCAATATTCTCTAACCCAATAAAATACACTTATAGTTAGAATCAGTAACAATTTCGTGTAAAACCCCTGATATGATTAATAAATATCCTTCTTTTATTGCCCTTGTAGGCACCTGATGGTGGGTGGTCACCGTCGCTCATTGACGTTAGCAAAGCCAGGGGCAGAGCTAAGCCACTGCCTACCTTTATCCTATCTGTATTTCGGTGACCGGTCGCGATGTTACATTTTTTTCCTACCTATTCTAGTAACCTCGACGGGGTTATTCTAGATTCTAGTATTCTAGATTCTAGAATCGTCTCAGTGGGTCGCGTTTCCGATCCGGTGGTAGATTCTGCGAAGCACTGCTCTTGCTAGGGCCAGTGCTAGCATCACATCCGGTTTGAGTCCCGTGAACTAACCTACACGTCAAGGTGAATCCTCCTCCTAGGAATTCCTCCTAGGAAAAAAAAGTCCGAGTTAAATACAAAATAAAAAACTAATATGTCAAGCTTTCCAGGTAGTGATTATCAGAACAATTAAGTAAGCGCTAAGTATAACGTTTCCAAGAAAAAGGGTTAAGTTATCCTAAGAAGGCACATTGCAGGCAAATCACTCAAAAGCAGTCTTAGTACTCTTTACGTAAAGATCATATTGCAATACGGATATTTCGGATTCCACCCTAGTGTGTGATGTGTCTTGTTTTAACTTGATCTTTTATAACTTATAAAACATTTACAGTAAACTTGGAAATTTCGACTGTTTAAATGTTCGTTGTAGGACGAAGGATTTTTACACATTACATCTGAACTATTTGTTTTTAATGTATAAGTTATATTACGCATTTTTAAATTTTAGAGGTTTTATCGTAGTAATACGTCTTTAAATTAAATTTTGAATATAAAATAGCAAATGCGGCCAAAAATAATGAAACGTACATATTTTAAAACTAAGTATCTTTTTTATTGACAAAGACTAAATGCGGTTAAATAGTAAAAACACAGTAACTATTAAACACGAAATGACATTAAGAATTTACAACAAAAGAGGTTATCCAACGTTATTTTGTAACAGTTAAAACTATTATTTAATCTGTGTCATTGAGTAAAAAGCTCTGATGTTATGCGGAAGGCGTAGATTGCAAATCGAAACAGCCGAATTAAGGTTTTTGATTTGTTGTAAATTTTAAAACTAGAACATTACTTGTGTTTATGGCTTATTGTACGCAAAAATATAAAAAGAGAAATCACCAAGAAAAATATTTTCGGAGATATTTAATAACTATTTTTAAGCTATTGCATAGCATTTATCGCGGGCCTTGAGCGCGGCGACCGAATCATGAAATTCCGTAACGAAAAAAACCTAACATCCCTCACTCCGCCTACCATGTAGCTCGCGTTCAACACATTCACACGTTGCGCTTGTGTAGTGTTTGTGAATAAGCGCGAGGCGTGACGTCACACTGCATGCGCATCATGAAAATTCTGCCCATCTCTATCTCGCGCGGTCTAGCTTATGAGTGTGAAGGGGATAGCTAATGTTTTGCTTTTATTAATGTTTAATGTAGCGTGGTCTTGTTTTATTATTGTTTTAATAATAAATTATCATTGTCTAATTATAATTGCATAAGTTGATAATAAATGCTATGCAATAGCTTTACCGCGGCAGTTCCCGAGTGCCACACGTTTGTTTTTTTTACTTAATTATTTATCCATCATTATAAAATATACAGGGCAACATCAACTAATGCAAAATTAAATGAAACACAGTAAAAATATTATGTCACATTGCTAAATCGATCACTGCTAGACAGCGAGTTAAAGGAAAAAAATAATAATTGATTGTTAAATCAAAACAGGTCGTTTGTTTTTTTAAATCATTCGAGTTTTAAGCAAAAGTGGATTGAGACTTGAATAAAATGAACATAACGTGTGTTTGTAGACGAATGACATTTTTTTAAATATTTTTGAGTATTTTAATTCATTACTGACACGTTCAATAAAATAATTATTGTTTATTTATTTAATTTGGTGTAAACGAACCTTAGTATTTCGGGTATTTTCGTTTTCATAAGGTCTAACCCATAACTATTAAACTATGGTATAAAACAAAACATTTATAGGAGTTTTAATTTAATTGTTTCAATTGCTTATTCTTTTTTATTTCCCGAGCAGGTAAACGAGTATACGGCCCACTTGATGGTAAGTTGTTACCGTTGCTCATGGACGTCAGCAATGCCAGGGGCAGAGCCAAGCCGCTGCCTACCGGGCCAAGCCGCTGCCTACCTTGATCTTAGATCTGTCTTGGTATATAATGTCGTTCAGTAGATAATATCTGGGGCTTGTTATTAAATAATTTTGAGATTAAGGTTTTAGAAGCGCACAAAGGTCCCGGACCGAATTTGAAGTCTTAAATCTTCTTCGATCTTTAATCGCTCATTTTTGTTTTGAGATCTAAAGTATATGGATGATATAATGAGCATTGTTTTATGTAATAGATTTTGTGTTGTTTTCGAAAACGATATAAGTTTGAATCATGATATTCATTTCAGCCATCAGTAAAATTTAATTCAGTGCTTATTGGATATTTTATTACGCGAAAAATTGTAGACAAAGTAATACCTAGTTGTAAATCATGAGGGAGTAATATTATTGCGTTAAGAATTGGCAAGAAACTCATTAATATTGAACCGAGATAGTTTAGTGATTGACTAAGCTCGTGGGAAATTTATAATTACTGCATATTCTTTGTATCCGTGATATTATGTAGACGTAACTGGGTTTGTTTCACAATTTAAAACAATGGATTTATGCATGCGTTTATATTCCAGTAAAAAGATCAGAAAATGCAGTTCAGTTTTGGTGTGAATTTCACAAGTTTTTATATAGAATTACTCCGATTATTGATGAAAACAATTCGGATTTCGCAATGTGTTTTAATAATTTGTGAAACTATTTTGGTCTGTGCAAAAAAATACGCCTTAATCTTAATTAACACATTAATTAAAGTCGTTATCTGACGTCTTAAAAATATTCGAGCGATCCATGGTTATAATTTAATTTTTTTTTTTTTTTTTTTGTTGCTTACATGGATGGACGAGCTCACAGCCCACCTGGTGTTCAGTGGTTACTGGAGCCCATAGACATCTACAACGTAAATGCGCCACCCACCTCGAGATATAAGTTCTAAGATCTCAGTATAGTTACAACGGCTGCCCCACCCTTCAAACCGAAACGCATTACTGCTTCACGGCAGATATAGGGAGGGTGGTGGTACCTACCCGCGCGGACTCACAAGAGGTCCTACCACCAGTGAAATTATTAATTAGCACAGACGGAAACAGCACATTTGCTAATAGCAATTTCTTGATAATCCTCCTCCCCAAATCGTTTCATCAATAAAGAGGATTGTGGCTTCGACGTAAGCGCTACAGCAAACTCCTTCTCTTGCTACGATGTTTGGCCTGGAGAGCTCGAGACCAATTGGCATTCTGAGTTCTTCGGCCACTTGGTCTGACCAATGTCTTCTTCTTCCTCGAGGTCTTTTGACGTCTACATTGCTAGTACTTCTGTACTTTTCCAGATTATCTGCACTTCGGCGCGCTTTGCTGTCGTAGTACCAAGGTTGTGGCGAATGAAAACTTGAGTTGTCTTAGAACGCATATCTTAGTATTTCAAGCCGTTTAGGAGATGCCAAGCAGCCAGCGCCTTATCGCATTACCGACAGCATTTTCATAATAATATGGTGGTATTATGTAAAATTCAATTCGTTAACATTCCAGACTCTTTGTTTTTGCGGTCAAGTCGCGCAGAACCTGTTTTCAAGGTTGAATAATAGAGTATTTGTATATAATTGGAGAATCCAGAGGACGGCAGTGATTTATTGCAGCAGACGATTTATTGTTACTTCACCAGT